CCGAACGTCGAGTGCTTCGACTGCTGCCCAGCGCTCGTCTGCGGCATCCCTTTGACGGGCGTTCGGCTGAAACTCCCTCTTCGCACCATTTTCTCCGTCGACGGCTCCGACGACGAGATGAAGGCCATACCGCCGGCGCCGTTGTCCACCAACACGGAAGACGAGTCCGGGTGCAGAGAGTCCGCCTTTCCGCCCGCTTTGAACCAATTGCCGAAATTGAATCCTTTGCCACTCTTTGTCTGCTTCTGAATCATGAGAACGGCGTCGTCGTCGGTGATGGACAGGCGCGGAGAGGCGGCCCTTTGCACGCGCAGAGCGCCGGCACTCTGACTGAGTCCAGTGCCGGGCAGCGCCCAATCCAGTTGTCCCGAGTCGTCGTGAATGCTCTGACTGCTGGGCGCGGCCTTCATTCCGGCAGAAGAGCTCTTCTTCTTGAAGAACCTGTTTTTGTGGGTCTTCTCCGAGTCGTCGGTCGTCTGTCCAGTCGGCGAATACTGTCCGCCGCGCGCGTCTTCCGAGCGCCGTAAAGCTGACGGCGAGTCCTTCTTGTGGAGCAGTTGCGCGCTGTCTATGAGTCCACTTAAGGCCACTCTTCGGAAAGCGCCGCCGTGTGAGTCCCTGTGGAGAGCGAGAGGTGAGCGGATTGTTTGCAGATTTGAATTTTTGGCGCCAAACCTGACGTAAGACACGAATTGTCGGATTTCGCAATAGAGAGACATATTCTCCTGAACTCTCAACTCTTTGGTCATTGTCGTCAACCGCGAGATCAACGGCTTCAGAACGCAACCAATGATTACGCCTTCAATGCCTTAAAAGACAGACAAAAGTCAGAAATCAAAGCAATTCTTTACGCAATTCTGTGGCAAACCCTTTGCACCCGATTTGCCGAAACCGGCGCCGAAATTGTTGGAATAGCCGCTGCGGGCGGCGCCTCCCGTCGAGTCGCACGACTGCTGACTGCCGAGCGGCGGGTTATTGGACTGCTTGCGGGCCATTGGGTTCGTCGAAGAGTTGTTATGCGTTTCGACACAGAAGCCGAGGAAAGCGTGAAAAATGTCGATTATCTCCTGAACGCTTCTTCTGGTGACCATTTCCTCGAGAAAGCGACTGAAATGCGATTCCGACGACTGGTTCAAGTAGGCCAGAGTGCCGGCAATGGCGCGTCTCAACTGCACGGCCTCGTCCTCGCGGTGACCTTCGCCGCAGCCTTGAGGACATCCCAACTGTTTGACGAGTCGTATGAGAGTATCCATAAAGAGGTGATGAATGGACAGCTCCTCGTTGTCCACTTTGGTTCTGTGGACGCCGTCAGCGCCGCCTGGAGTGGAGGCCGTGACGGGACTGACGGGAGCGGCGCTGTTGTCGTCGACGGGCGCGATAAAAGTGGGAAGAGCGCCCATATTGATGAGTCGGGTGAGGATCTCGTGAATGGCGCGACACACGGGCAGAGAGCAGACCGAGTCCTTGAGAGCGATGGAGTGGACGGCCTTCAGAGTGACCACAAGACTCAACTGTCCGTTTTTGGTGACGTAATTGGTGGACGCGGCCGCTTCTGTGGGCGCCTCCGAGTAGTAACTGATGTTAGAATCGGTTTGACTGCGGGTTATCTGCGTCTGAGGCGCCGACAGATTGCACAGCGACTCCTCTTTCGGTGAATCGCTGGTCTCTGCGGTCATAAAGAACTGAATGGAAGTGACCGGAGAGTGCTCTGTGATCGTGATTATGGGAAACGGAACGCTATATGCCTGCGACGCCGACTTCTTCGGCGACTTCTTCGAGTCGGGCGTCAAAAACCGCGAGTTCTTGGAGTCGTTTCCGAAGCGGTCCAACAGGAGGTGGAGGGATGGCATGGAACGTCCCCTTTGCATCTCCGACCGCATGTCCGAGCCCTTGCCGTCTTCGTAGCGTCCGATTGCAGACTTGGGTCGCGGTGGCGGCGGAACGAGTTCTTTGGAGCGGAAGATTGAGTCGCTTTTGTCTTTCTGCTTCTGACGCTTCAGTTTGTTGGACACCGAGTCCTCATTGTCTCGCAATTTATCCAAATTCTGTTCGGAACTCATTTTGTCCGTCAGATCACAAACCGAACCCTTTTTCTGTCTCTTCGGAGACTTTATCTTTTCGCTGGCAGTCCTCGCGATAGTGGCGGGCGCGCCGATCAAAGAGGACAGACCTCCCAAACCGCCCAAACCCGGCAAACCCGAAAACGACGAGCGCCTGATTTCCATTGACGGCGTCTTCGAGCCGCTGGTCAGTGCGTTGTCGTCGAGAACCAGTTTCGGGATTTGTTCGGCTCTTGCCTTCGGCTCAGCCGTCGTCTGAACGCAAACCTCTCGCTTTGGTATCGGAGGGAGAGAACAGCTCCGGGGTCGCGGTCTCTCTTTGTTAGACATATCGTTGTTTATGGCCTTAAGTCTGACAACGACTCGGAAAATTAGAAGAGAAAACCTCAAGAATTAAAGACAAACCGATTTAATATGAAGTTTAGAGACCAAAGGATTCCGTCTTCGAGCCACTGGTTTGTGAAGAGACAGCGCAGAATCGCTACATCCAAGAACGTGGCCATTGACGGATCGGACAGCGGTTTTGCCTCCACATCGAAGTTCTTCTTCTCGGCAAAAGCGCTGCTTTTGGTCGGAGTGACAGACTCTTTGCCTTCGATCTTCTCGATGGAAATGCTGGAAGTGGCGGCCGTCGGAGAGCTCAGAAACGGACAGGGAGTGGGAGTGGGCGTCGGTGTGGGGGTCGGTGTGGGAGTGGGTATTGGCGAAGGCGACGGCAGGGGATGTCCATTGGAACTGGCCATTGAAGGCGTTGGCGTGGACTCGCGTTTGCCGTCCGAGACGCCGAGGAAGACGTCGCCGAACTTGGGAAGCGCTGACTTGCGTTCGTGTCGCGTCGCCCGCAAGATGTTGCGCTTGGGTTTGACCTGAGCGGTGAAACTCGTGATACTGACCGACGGGAGAAACAGTGAGACGAGTGGACAGCCGTCAGAGCAGGTCTAATAAAATATCAATGAGAACTCACTCGGGATGAACATGAAGGAAGAGCGGCGACCAGATTTTGTACCCGTTTTCGAGTCGGAAACTCGTCAAGAAGTCCGAGTCTTTGAGGCGCGCCATCAACGGCGCGAACAAATAGATGTAGACCTGAAGAGTGGTGACGGGAAGCAAGTAGTGTTCGGGCCGTCGAATGATTCCCTCCTCGCACTCGGCGTCGGCGCACTCCTCGGCCGCGTCTAACAGAATCCAGTGAAGAGTGTACAGGAGTTTGGTTTCCGCGGCCGACAGCTTATCGAAGGTGGCCTGACGGCGGCCGTACAGCAGAGCCGCGCAACAGTGCATCACATGCGGCAGAGCGGCCAAAATGAGACGCCATCTGAGACGCGGAGAGAGCGTTAGAAGCGAAGCGCAATTCGCGGCCAAACCTGGAGATGGATTTGATGGCTTCGGTGAGCGACGGCGAGAGACCGAACTGGATGTTCTGCACCAACACCTTCTCAAACGACTTGCAGGCCTCCCTCTGCTCCATGGCCGCCGCGTCCTGCAGGCGCGAGATCTTGGGCCGAATGAATGGACTGCAAGCAAGAGTTGGTGGCAATGAGGGCACTGGCAGTGAGGGGAACGGCGGTACCTGGTCTGGCGCCACAGGAACGTCTGGATGGGCAGCGGGATGGACATGTCGTCGATGTCCTCATCGCACGAGTCAGTACTCCTGCGTTTCGGCATTTGGACTCGAAGTGAATGTTTATTCAAACCATTTGTTTGTTTAAGAAGTTATGAAAACAACGCGAAGAGAGTCTGCGTCCAAAACATCGATCGATATTTCGTTTATTCAATGCTTTCCCAAAATTACACTCAATTTGAATGAACGTTCAATAAATAAGTCATAAATACGACAAAACTCTGAATATTATCACAAATATATTAAATTATGACTGAAATTGAGATCAAAAACACACACTCTTTGACAGGATATTGAAAAATATTTGATTCGAGTAATGATTGTAAACATAATTGTCACTCAATTGCTAAGAAATCAATGCTTTTCCAATACACGAATGCATGAAAGGTCGCCAAAAAGGTGTCACTTCTGGCACCGGAATATCCACAGCATTGGCGCCGTCTTTATGACCACTTGTTTGGAGAGCGAGAAGTCGAGTCCATTGAATCCGGTGACGGACTTGAGGAAGCGGCAGTTGCGGATGTGGCGTCCGATATGACACGAGACGTCGGCGCCCGAGCCCGAGCAGCGCGACTGCAGGCTCTGGACGTCCGACTTCTCGAGCACCAAATACGTCACTCCGAAGCGAACGAACGTCTCGTCCACGAGTTTCGGCTGTTTGTCGTAATAGACGGCCTCCAACTCGAGGAAGCGCGTGAAGCCCGTCTGCGCCGCCAGATTGCACACGTAGACGCCGATGGTGTGGCGCTCGTGGTAACTGTCCACTGTCGTGATGTGGCGGTTGAGCCACGACACGGCCTCTCCACCCGGGTAGTTGTGCCACGCCGTCAGAGTCACTGCATGAGAGGCAGAGTTTGCATGCATTTCATTGGCTTTCACTCGCTTTCACTCATCACTGCATTCAGGCATACATTCCTTCACTCGATTGGCGTTCACTTCGACTCGCATTCACTCACTCTCTCATCCAATACTCACTGAAGACAGTGGCGGCCACATTGCACCAGACGTGGATCGCCATCACGATGAAGGCCAGAGTCATACACCTGCGGACAGACAGGGGGTTAGTGGGGCGACACACGCGCACACAACTGACCAGCCGTTGGGCGCCGCGCACTTGTCGCTGCTGTTCTGGAGCTGAGCGGCCGTTATCTTCTCGTACTGCTGGTCCAAGTCGTCTTCGACGGAGTGCTTCCCGCGGCGCCGCAGATGCTTATTGTTGGCCGGAATGGCGTCGTACTTGTTCTCGTCTTTGACGAGCGACCCGTTGGAAGCGCTCGAGTCGTTGGGCCACAAGAAGTGCCAGAGTTTGGCGACGAGGAAGGACTCGCTCTTTTTGGTCACCGAATCCTCGAACTTCTCGATGACGACCGCCTTATAGTAATCAATAACTTTCAACTCTCTCTTCTCTCATCTTTTATCTGAATCTAAGACCACTTACGATGGTATTGGCGGCGCAGGCGTTCAGCAGAGGAATGACGTATATAATGAAACGCAACTCTTTGTGCGGAAGAAAGGAATACGAGAGCAGAAAGAGGAGCGAAACGGTGGCCAAAGTCTTCAGCATTTCGCGGCAGCAAAACGGCACGAAAATCACTGTCAAAAGCATCGCTCGCGGAAGCGCTGAATAGAAGTACCACAAGAAGGGCTGCGTTCCCCACTCGTGCGATCGGTTCTCGTAAATGTTGAACCGAATGGCGTCGCCTGCGGACGGGAGAGGCGTTAGGGAGAGAGAGAGAGAGAGCAAAGGGACATACCTTCGGGCCATACGGGTCGCGCCCACACGTACGAGTCGAAGGCGACGGTTATGGCGAGAGAGACGAGACCGGAAGGAATGCCGACTTTGAGGAGACGCCGGAAGTGGAGCTCTCGGGTGACGAACAGCTCGTAAAGAGTGATCCACGCGAAGAGGATGGCCGTCTCGACGCGCAGCACGAGGACAGTGAAGGCGACGACGAAAATGAATTGATTCCACTTCTTGTCCAACCACTTGGCGAAGGCTATGAGGACTGCGATGAGGGCGAAGGTGTTGGGCAGACATCGCGACGCGTAGAACAAGAAGTGGAACTGAGTCAGAGTGAGGACAGACAGCGCCCGACGAGTGGTAGACCCGTAGCGCGACTGCACGGAACGGCCGAACGCCGAGAAGCTGGCGATCACCACAAGAAGTAGAGCCACGCGGGAGACGGTCTGGACGTAGAACTTGTCGTCCGACTGAAAGAAGTACGAGAAGGGCTTCGACAGCATTGATATGAAGAAAGGGCCCAAAAATGTTCGGTGGACTACACCTGAGGACAGACAGAGGGTTAGCGGTGGCCGACGGCGCCGAAGACATACCGGGGAAGTCCTTGTGGTCCCAACTCTGAGCGGCGGTCGAACTCGTGTTGAGGAGCCGTCGGAAGAGGTGGTCGGCGTCCGAGTAGTTGTCGTAAGTGTTGGGGTCGACCAGATTGGCCACCAATTGGATCAGATTCGAGGAGTTGGAGAGATATATGAAGTCGTGAATGGATTGCATTGCAAACGATTCCTCGACTTTCGTGAAGGGAGTCATCAGCGCGAAGATGGCCGACACCACCGACAGAGCCGTGAACTGCAGGATCGGAGACAACGGAGAGATGGATAGCGACATAATGGCTCCCATTTTGGTGATAATGTCTTCGGCTATTGATTGGCTTTTAATTGAATCCAATATTTAAATAATTTGTTTACATTTCATATGTTTTACACTCAAAGTTCAGTTCATCACAAACACTATGTCCGCAACCCCTCCCTCTCTACTGCCGTAACAGTGTTTGTGTAACACTGCATAACCTGCCGCTAATGTGAAGGCTATAGTATGGAAGGGTCGCACAAATACAGCGTTACGTTCGGAGCGCTTCCGCCACTCGAAAGAAAAGGACGGAAAGCACTCAACAGATGGAGGCCTCGGCTCTCGAAAGGCTGACATTTGGAGAGAATTTGAAATAAAATGTGATTTTGTTTTCATTCATCGCTCGAGTCGTCAATCATCGGATCAAACGATGGATAAAACGCTTCAAAACCTGTACTACTCTTCGCTGCTGTCGGAGTCGCCGTCTGTCAGAGACAGCACTTCCAGACACGCCAACAGATTCCTCAGTAAGTGTGAAGAGCCCTCCTTTTGACCACTTCTCACGCGATTGCTCTTCAGACTCGTTTGAAATGTCTTCAATGCATTTGTTGCCATCAAATCTCATCAATCAAAGCGTATTCCTCAGCACCACAGCCAACGACACCTTCCAGTCAAACACTATTCTCGAAGAGCCGGACGAGGAGTCCTTTTCTTCCGACTCTGCGCTCACTCTTTACCAGCAGTTCTTCGAGACGAACCAAAAATATGCCGCAAATGAGGACAACGTCTTTGAGATGTTGACCGAATTCGAGCTCTTGTGTTGCGATCACCTGATGGTGACGTCGAGTCTCATGAAGTCGAAAGTGAGACATTCGGCCGAAACGAAAGACATGAATAAACTCGAGAATGTGTTCCGATTGGAGCGCAACAGTTGGCGCGTCTTCAGAGCCATCTTCGAGGACAGGACTAAGAGTGGCGGCGACTGTCAGGAGGACATGATTGTCGACGATATGGTCACCAAAATGAGTGACAAGACATTTGCGGAGCGACTGTTCGAAAGGGACTGTCGTTTACGGCAAATGCAATTAGTTATCGATTGGTTGGAGAGAAACCAATTGGACGACAGCGAAGACGTCGCCAACGATCGCATTCAGTTCTACTCCGAGGGTTAGTCTTCTGGCAGTTGTTTAGTCTCTATAATAGTCTTTCCTTCACTTCAGGTCCGTATTCGTGGGAAAACTCTTTACACGCTCTGAAGACCACTGGCGACCAAATGCTCGCCACTGACCGCAAACTGTGTCCAAACATGGATCCCGACGCTCCCATTCGCACCCGACTCTCGCTCCACGATTTGGACGTCGAGGACGAGAACCGTCTCTTTCGTTACATTTTCCAACTCTTGCGCGCCGGACAACTGCCCGACGCCAAAGACATCGCCCAACGACTCGGTATGTGTTCCGACCGTCCATTCGTTTGATTCATTTGCGTGTTTCCACTGCAAGGCTACTACTGGTTGTCGGCGGCGCTTGACGGCTGGCTCCTACATCACGACCCCAACTACGGCCACGAACACAGTGCCAGCAAAGTCTTGGAACCGATTGAAGGCAACGCCAACCGCGACCTCTGGAAGTACGTGTGTTGGCGCGCGTCCAAAGTGGAGGGCACCAACATCTACGAGAGGGCCATCTTCGCCGCCCTGAGCGGCAATGTGGCCACTCTTTTGCCGCTCTGCACGCGTTGGTCGGACCGCTTGTGGGCGTACTTCCGGTCCTCTCTCGACGTTCACATTGAGGGCGAATTGAGGGCAACTCTTGTCGAGAGACCGGAAGGAAAGCCGCGCTTCAAAATCGATTTACCGGATCTCTATTGGGATAACAAACTGACGGCTCGGGCCATCTTCCGAGAGATCGAATCCCACGGAACCGTTTCGTCGGCCGTCGAGGAGTCGTATCATCAGAACATCCAGAAGTTCGTGATATTGGGAGACGTCGACAGTCTCGTGGACTACATCTACGAGTGCTCTAAAGTGATCGCAGATTCGCGCCGAACGAAGAAAGAGGAGAAACGAGTCGACAAATACCGACAATCGGAACAAGTGGTCGAACCGCAACTCTTGAGATTCTTCGCACATCTTGTGCTCGCATTAAGGCATTTGGGAGTGAGTTCGAGTCGGGAGTCGTTATGTGTGGCCATTCTCGAGGCCTACATCCAGTTCCTCATCGACCGAAACCAGATTGAATTAGTGGCCTATTATACGGCACAACTGCCCAAAAGCAATCAAATCACGACTTTTGCGAAACTCCTGGAAGGCATTGAAGACGAAGACGACCGCAAAATGTGTATTCTTTTGGCGAAGAACGCGAATCTGGACATCAACTCGATTACAATGACTCTCGTGGACAACGTTCGGGTCAAGACGGAGGAAGACATGCAATTGTCTCACGAGTTAATGAACGCCACGAACAGCGAAGACAAGAAGAAAATCAATTCTTTGGATTGGCTTTTGTTTAGCGAAGTGCAGGAGTGGAGCGAAGCTCTGAAACAAACGAATTCTCTGATGAGAAGCTTTTTGTTGTCCCGAAAAGTGGACGCAATGAAAGACGCGTTCAACAAATTGCCCGAAACTATCATCGATAACGTCTACAAACAGTGGATTCGGAGGACAGGTAGTAGTCATTTGAGCGCTGAGGAAGACAACGCCGTTCGCGAGTACTTGTGTCACAAGGCGTACATTCAGGCCACCGACGCCTTCACCGACTGGTGAGTCACTTATTCTTCTTCTCGTGTTTGACACGAATTGACACGAATTTCTCCTTTGAAGGCAATATTGTTTGCATAACTCGAAGCCTCGGGAACCGCCGAAACAGACGTCCAAACGCTTCATGGATACCGTCGCTTACGAGCATTCGGTGAAACAGTTTGAACTCGAATTGAGTCACTGGAAGGAAATGCTCGCAAAACAGGGAAAACTGACGGCCGATAAGATCGAGAATGTGCTGCTCTTTCCGGACGGCGGATGGATGGCTGACCAGCGGAGTGACGCCACCGGAGACCAGATGCGCACCCATCAGATGGAAGAGTTGAGGCGACAATATATTCCTCAACTCGTATTCATCGCTCATTCCATTCACAAGTCGTCCAACAATTTAGGCGATTGTCTCAAACTGGCGGATCTGGTGGCCGACGAACGCAAAGCCATTTATACGATGTTTTCCAAGGAGTTGTTAACGGATTTGCTGAAGAAGTTGAGAGAGACGTCGATTGAGATCTTAAACGAGTCGTCCGACCCTTTGGGATATGCGACGCTTTGAGAGATATTTATTTTTCTAATCGTTTTATACAATATTTGCAGTAATTATCGCTTCAAATAAATTACTTTCAAATCCATTGTTATCTAAATCTCGAGTTTTTTACGTTTCAATCAATAAAAAGTCAAAACAATTCTCTATTCAATGCTTTCTATTCATTGCAGAACTCAATGCAAAACCATTTATTTGGTACTAAAAGACAGAGTAAAGTGTAAAACAATTATCGGATTAAACTTTTATTCACAAATGTTTTGAATTCATTGCAGGAAATAGTTTAATGACATTTTTTCAAATATAATATTTATCTCAAACTCATCTACTGATGACAGTAAGAAATGACACGAAAATAGTGTTTACGCCAAACGAGAGTTTTTTCAAAAATTCATTCAAAAAATATCCTTTTTTACTGTTCTCTCCAATACTTTCTCTATTCATTGCTTTCAGTCTTGTATTCATTGCAGAATTCAATGCAAAATCATTTATTTGTTACAAAAAGCAGAATAAAAAGGAAAAAACAATTAACGAATTAAATTATATTCACAAAAATGTTATGAATTCATAAAGATTAATGCAATCATAATTTCTATTATATATACTCATAAGATATTAAGGCAAGAATTTAGTCGATAATCAGATGAGACATTAGAAGACAAATATTTCTCTCAAACTCATTCACTGGTGACAGAGTGTTAGCAATCGATATGAGATGAAAAAGTTGAGGTGTTTTTAGGCGCTGAATATATGTTGGAAACGACAGCTAGAATTAGATGTTGGGAGAGGTATGCGAGGGCAGAGAATGCAATTTTGTCGTCCAGTCATTAACAGAGTGATGACATTGGAGAAAATATCTCTCGTATATTGATTTATTGCTCGCAAAATATCATTACTTCATATATGAGGACATGTCGGCCAGAATTTGATCATAACTTTTGCCATTCGTGCGAACCTTTACTTCTTGGGCTTATTTTTTAGTTTCGAAACTCTTTCCCCACAAAAAACTTAATCTCAAAAGCAGTTCATTATTATTGAGCTAATGATTTGTGTCTAAAGAAAGATGAGTGAAAAGTCTATTGTAGAGAAACTCAATACAGTATAGGAATTATCGTTTAAAAGGAGTTTTTGTAGATAAAAGCCACACATTGTATGTGTTTCTCTCGCAAAGAGTGATTGAAACAAATGCTTTGTTGAGTAAAAACATCCATAAAAACTCAAGAACTTCAATAAAGATCTCAAACATAAATCAGTATATCTTTTATGCGTTTGTGTGCAACACATCCATTCTCTCTGTTATGGCCACCGATTCGTTTGATTAATAAATTCCGTCCAAAGAGTAAACTTTCAATTTTTATATTAAATTCTTTTGTTTTCGTATATTTTTGTTAATCACACGAAACCGAGAAGAAATTGTGGTGTTTTTGGATAGAAAACGACATTAGAGTTGAAATAACAGTCGATTTCATATATAAAACAAACAAATTCTTGAGGAATAAAGTAAATAGATTCTTGAGATGACAATTCTGGGACCGAAACTCAATTTCATTGGAGTTTTTGTTTAAGAAGTGATTCACAGAATAAATATTTCGTTCTTTAATACAACAGAATATACAACAGAATATCAATATTGAGTTTTCTTCACCGAAATCATTAAATGAATTCTTATTCGCGATTCTAATGAAGAGTTGAATATTATTTAAATTATTCCTTTGCATAACTAAAGGGGTTTCCGACTGTTTTGGTTGGCAAGTGATAACAAGTGTGTTTGCCTACGAAATGATTTTTATTTCTTATTCAATTGTCTGCATATATTGTGATAACGATCTAAAGTTTTATTGGAAACGCTCTCACGATTGGATTACTAGTCGTTGATTTGAAATTCAGACGAAATGTGTATTCAAACCACAGAATAATAGCTTATTCTGACGAAAGACAAGAACAAAACCATAGCAACGATTCTTTAATTGATTTTCTTTATGTTCACTCAAAAGATATATTTCGGTATTAAATCTGAGGATAATTTTATTATTTATAACAAACAAAGTACTACAGTATTACAGTTAAATTGAGTTTTTCAAAAATAAATTCCCTAAAAAAGATCGTCTAATTTAAAAAGGATTTACTGAAAACCAAATTTCAAACATCATTTGCATATTTTCTTAATCAACAATTTGATAAAAACTGGGGTTATTTGAGAGATTTATTTTAATTCCGTAAATCATTGGACAACAAACAGGTCTTTCATGTGAACCGTAATGCGGAAGAAAAGTGTTTGGAATTGTAATTCCGATATTTGAATAATTTTATTATTTCTTATAATGCAATCATATAATGGAAAATCTAATATTGTATCCAAGAATTAGGCGCTCCACTAGAGCACCATTAAGTAGATCACCGGCTTTTGCAGCACAGCTTAGGCAGGATTGAGCTTGTTAACAGTTTGCTTTTGCCAAATCATTTTTTATCAAATTTTTTACACTCAATGTTTATGTATGAGTTGCAGAAAAAGTGGGAAATATTTTAATATTTGTTGAGATTATGTGTTTAGCAGTGATTGCAAGCGAAAGGAGAGTCTGGAAACGGATTCTCATTGAAGGCATTCGTAATTAAATGCAATGCAGTTATAATGTAGTCATAAATACTGATTCCCTTTATATATACTTTGTATATTTACAGAACTTTGTGTGACAAGAATTTGCATCATAATTATGAGAAAAATGGCATTTTCAATTCACTTGGTACTACAAAAATAACACATAATTTTTGTCGAGTTTTATAGAAAATTCTGTAAAAATAATTTCATTGAATTTGTATTTTGTACTTTCAAATGATGAAATATAATTTATAATTCATATACTGTATTGGTTTTGATTTTGAAAATAGCGTGATATATAGTAGTGTATTACTAGTATATTGAGAAAGAATTTATGGCAAAAGTCATAAACGAGTGGAAATGCTTTGAAATATCTTTATATAAATCATAAGTTCTGTAATGTTGACTGATTTTAAGCCATAATAAAAATGGGTTATAAAGAGTCATTTGAGTGACTCCTTTAAGAATGCTGTTTTCTATAGTAAATCCCTTGATTTGGTTGTCAAATAATGGTTAATACATTTTTGAATATAAACAAAATATTTTATATATTCATGAATTGATGAGTAATCTCAAACTTCTCGCAAGAATTACATAAATATTCAAATGAGTTCTTATTTTATTAGATGAGATACAGTATAGTCTCAAAAGCCAAATGAAGAAAATTGAATATTATTTTCAATTATATTGAATTTAAATATAAATAAATGTTAAATAATTGAAGAATTTGGGACTATTTTCTAAACTGTTATTACGGCACGAAAGATATGTGAGCACCGGTATCATAGAATTAGAAAATTTCTAAACTTTACAAAAATCTTATTAATAATAGAGAAATAATGAAAATTCTTTCATTTGAGTCTTTTAGGAAAATTTTCAGAAAGAATTTTATGAATTTTTATAATTATTTCACAAAATTATAGCTCAAAAAACTAGAATATCTGCACGAAGTTTGTAATGACTAAATTATATAAAACAATTTCAATCATTACGACAAAAAATAGTGAGTTTTGCGTTTGTAATGTCATTAAGAATGCAAATATAAGACTTAATTATGAATTCAATAGTTTGTGTAAAAGAATGTGGAAAATGCGCTCATTTTTGAAAAGCACTGAAAATAAAGACTCAAATAATTGTTGACATAACGTATGAAAGACTTTTAAGCGTTAAATAAAGTGTAATTCACGACAATCGCTAACACACTTACGGCACAAGATCTCTGGTTTAAATTTGAGGAGATTTTTATTTATTGTCTTTTATAAAGCCATAAAAGTTTCACAACACTCTAAATCTACTCTTATTAGGGCTGACCTGAAGACGATGGGGTTTCCAAGACGTCCAAGAATAGACTGAATTGAAAGCCCAACAGAATTTAAATTTGAACACAAATGTAGGAAACCTCAAGAGAATTACAATTGACTGGCAATTCGTGTAATGCATAAAACACTCGTTTAAATGAGGAATTTAAAGAATAATTTGTGCAAAAATACTCATCATTTAATATATCTCTAATATATGTTTGAAAATTGTCAAACAAACAACAATTTATGACTTTGTATTTAAAATTTAGGAATATTTCAATATAAACAAAATATGAGGTCTTTTTAATCAACGAATAATATGCAAACAATCGAAACCCACTTTCCCTGTGATACCAACCCTTTCTCGACTATCGATCCATTAGTTCACACCAAAAGGATTGAAAATTTTATATGAACTTCAAAGCGGAGTCAATAAAAACGATTTTCTGCTGTTACTCCAGAATTAAATATCAATTTCTCAATGCCTTTTCAAACTCTCCATTCAATGCGCTCTTTTAAAACATTTAAAAATTATTATATTTAATGCTATAATTATTGTTTACATCAATTAACTCAATGAGACCGCTCTTTTGGTGATTCCTAACATTGACATCACTTATACGACAAATAAATAATGAAAGAATAAAAGAGGCATAAATTGGAGGCGAGATTATGTTTCTGTTTCTACTGCACTATAAGTGTCTCGATTTCAACGTAAGAGTTGCATTGAAAAATAAAAAACATTTAAAATTGCATTTTCCTTTAAATACAGCGAAAACAGTATTATTTCTAATTCCAAAAGTGATTCAAAACAAAATACAGAGACAAGTGAACAGAATTTTATATTTAAATTGAAAATTTCAATCGATTTGCAGATAGTTTTTGTGGGCTAAACACATTTGAACGACAGCTCGAGTTAACTCTTTTATCGATTTACTATTTGCTGGGCTTTGAATCAAAATTTCTATGTGAATGAGAATTATTCGTTAATATTTCTAGTGTTTATCAAATATTTATGGATTCAATTCTAGAGTACCTAGTTAGTCTATCTGTATGCCTATCGATAAAAGCCTCGTATTTTTGACCACTTTTCTCGAAGTGATTGTCAAAAAGTGACGACAATTTGTTTGAAATGAAAATAATCATAGCTTTCATACAATTAATACGAATTTCGATATAAATAGCGGTAATCGTATGCATAATATATGGGTTGAGATTTAGGGGAAAAGTAGAATTGAGTGCTCATGTAATGAACGCATCCATGAGTGATGTCTGGCAACAACAACATGCGTATTGGGAAGGGATGTACAGAGCATGTGGTGATTCAGGACAGACCGATGCAATAGAGACGGAGGGCAAGACAGGCGAAGAAGTGCTGAACCGCTATTTTTCTTATACTGGCGTACAGTCAGTCAGTGGAGGGCTCATCCATTCGTAGGCATAGTCTATGTGTTCACAAGAATATGAGGACAAAAATGAGGCGAAAATAAAAACACAAAACAGAGCCATAATTGCCAAACACAGCAATACATGAGTTATTCCTTGTATTCCTTGTCTTTATCTCCACTTTATTGCTATTATACGAGAGATCATTGAAAGCCAAACAACTAATTGCAAAAACCACTCAAATGTTGTCGTTTTCAGTGAATATATTTGCGACAAAAGTTTGTGACAAGAATTGAATGAAAAGCCAAACAAACCGATGACCGAAGAAAAGGAAGACCATCTTCTGTCGTACTACTCGTCCGACAACTCGTATGGCGAGAGGACGTCGCCCTCCACTTCCATCAACGACATCGTGAGGGCCGGCAAAGGACTGGTGAGGGCGAGGAAGGGCGCCCTCAAGAAGAAGAATGTGTTCACCGTTCAGAACCACAAATTCTTACCAAGGTTCTTCAAGCAACCCACATTCTGCTCACATTGCAAGGACTTCATCTGGGGGTTCGGCAAACAGGGCTTCCAGTGCCAGGTAGGACACCCTCTCTCTCTCTCTCTCTCTCTCTCTCTCTCTCTCTCTCATTACTCCCTAACATCCATCACATACCGTTCCACTCCATGCAAACCCATTCAATGGAAACACACTTTTGTTTCAAATTCACTGCAAGTGTTCATAAATATATGAATACATGAAACGATTGCAGGAATGACTGGAAAAGCGTTTATTTTTATCGGATTTCGCTTTCGAAACATATATTATTTGATTTCAATTTAGATAATGAATAATATATTAGAGAATAGCCGTAGAGTTGGAGTGAATTAAAAGAGAGACAAAACATCTGTTGAAACGATGTCTCAGTTATGTATAATTGACAGCAAATTAATATTTGTTGCAAAGAAGTAATGAATGAATGACTGAAACGTAAAGCAAAGCATTCGTTGTCTTCCAATAGTGTGTGAAATAAAGCGACAAAAGAGTCGTATTGTTAGCGATCTTCTCACCCAAAGTGTCGCACAATTTAAATCCAAAAACCATTCATTTGAGCGACACTTTCGCCAAATTGCAGACAAACTGAGAGCCAAATGAATTCAAACACATTTTTAAACACATTTCGCTTCAGAGGTCTCATTGTTTTAGTTGTGATCAATGCCTACGAAATGTGTGAATCAGTTGCGAGACCTGAAGACTCCCTCGGCTATCACCAGAATTATAAATATAACGACTTGTGAGCCGTAATAATAGTCATAACAATTCACTTGAGTTTTATGTAATCTTTGAGCTCTAAATGTGTTGTGTATTAACACGACTCCAATCGATATTAGCAGTAGTTTAGGAAATAAAGACTTTTGGAGTGAGAGGACACTGACATAAAAATTATACAACACTTCACTGTTTGCAGAGACAGACAGACCACTCATTTGTTTGTTAAATAATTCGCATCTTAACCAACGATTTAATCTTTCATTTGTTTTCTTTGTCTCTCATTATAGCGCTTCGAGTATAGCGAGCATTAAATCCCTAAATAATAAACTTTTTTATCTGATTTCAGAGTTATATTTGATGCTTAAAGTCATTACTTTCACTGAATTCATAGAAATGGATTCAATTCTGGTGTCGAATAAAGAAAATATGACTAAAACTGCAAACACTGTTCACAAATGATAGCAAATATTATACATGAAATAGTATTCAATTTACTTCTCAAATATGATTATTGTTCTCTTGAGAGCCAATTGACGCAAATTTGACTTTAAAATTTCGTTACAATTGCTTTCATTGTGTTATAATTAACGAAAAATATTTATTAAACCTAACGATACTTAAGGAGTAATTAAATCAATGCAAATGAGAGCTCAATCGGAAGGTAACATAAAGCGATGCATTGAATGCGAAATGTTTTTCGAGAAATTATATCAAAAGTTATGAGTTTTTATTGAGAACTCTTCCTTTGGGGGCATTTCCTAGAAATATACATGAATTTGAATTCAATTACATTCGTTATATAAGAGCGAAAATATTTTCACCGATATTTCAATCTTAGTATTGATTTTTATGAAATATTTTACGCGTTTTGCACTAAATATCGTATATAACGATAGAATGGTATTTTAAATTTAAGTGAAAACATGAGATTATATTAAGGATTTACACTTAATGTCAGTATTTGAACAAAATTCTACTCATTTCCACAATTTAAAGGCAATTTCCAGAATTGAATGAATTTCTATAAAGTTTGATTGAGTTTGAAGTTTTCTTTGATGAGAATATATTTGATTTTAGAGAAACTGTTTGACTTGAAGTGAAAAACATTTAATTGTAGGCGAGTTTATTCAAAGCATTATGATGACTTTTTTAGTCAATTGTCAACTGAGACAATTTATCAAACATTTCGAGTATTCAATAAAGATATCTAACTTAATAAAGGATATTATTTTCTCATTTGACGATACATTAGATTTTCTTAAAACTTTCCTTAACTTATAATTTAATAAAAATCTATTTTTGTATTTAGAGCTTAAAATAAATAAAAGCATCGAATAAATTGAAATATAATATCAATTAAAGAGCATTTAAAATACTACACAACTGAATGACATTTTATTTGAAAATTACTAACAAATCTGAAGTCAGTTAGTAATTGAAATAAATTATATTATTTTAATAAATGATTGAAAGTAAATGTGACGTAAATGTGTTTGAAACTGAAATGACATTGAAATGAGTTTCTGTTCAGTTTTTTCATAAAAATTTTGCAAATAAACTTGTTTATAACAAATAAATAAAATATCACTTTTATGTTCAAAACCTATAAATTATAGCATTGATTACCTGTCTTTCAAAGTATAAGTAAGCGTTAAATGAATATTTTCTTTGAAAATAAGCAAAGACGACATTTCTATAAATATTAATTGTTTTCAATTGAATTTACGTTATTTTATAAACCAATGATTCAATTATACGAAGGAATAAAGTCTCTTAAAATTGTAATTTAATGAAGGGATGAAAATAATATTTATGAGACATGTTTTGAATCATTTATGAATAGAGTTTCGCTTAAATCAGATTAGAGTACATTTCAAGCCTTCAAATAACAAACTTATTTAAGCGAAAGCTTTTAATCCAAATTCAATGTATGTCTGAATTTGTTTCGATTATAGACTCAGGTTTTAGTAGAAGTGGAGACAAATTCAATTACAGCTAACAATAAGACAAACGCTTTTGTATTCTTGATCTTAATTTACAATTTATTTAGCCTTTTGTGCCAATACTACAAGCGATAAGAGTTGGACACAAGAGCTCACAATTTGCTGTTCACTCGCAATACATAACCAAAAGACTTTCAATGAAATAAATAACTGAATAAAAAGAGACACAATTTTGCCTATTATTGTGCCTCAGAATAACCATTCAATTCATTCAATTCTCCACAAAATTCCGTTTTATTATTATTTCTAAAAACTTCATTTGATCGCAACTCTCTCTCTCTCTCTCTCTCTCAACTTCTTCAGCAAATCCGTTAACAACTCCTTGGAAAACATCGTATAAATGGCTTTGCGTTCGTCGGCCACCAGATCCGCCAGTTTGAGACAATCGCCTAAATTGTTGGNGTTTGCGTCAAACATAGCATTGATTGAGTCCTTAATTTACTTGAAAGCATTGAATTAATATTATATAAGATTGAGTCGATTCGATACATTTGGGTCATAATATAATAACGATATAATGCAATAGAATTGCTATTCTTTTGCCGTTAATACGATCGATGAAACAGTTATCCAATATATTGTTTATAAGTCACGTCACATAAGATTTAAATCCTTTAAACACATTGTAAACAATTTATATAAATATTAAGTTTTATAATTATAAATAATACGAATAAGTAGTTAATCAAGAAATCTTTCGTAAAACACAAATCCCAACCAAACTCTGACATCAGATTTCACTCTCATTTTGTTGAAAATGAAAAACATTTACAAATAAATGTTTATTTCGAGTATTTTGCTAATTAATGTCAATTTGTTAACTATTAATGAATTTCCTTAAATACAACTCATGTATCGTTTAGAGATAATTAGAGTTGAAGTGAAGGCAATGGGATAACTGTCTAAATATCCAAATCCAATGTGAAAGCCATGTCTCATAACTATATATAAACTTTTCTTATAGTTAAAGAATGACAACAAACTGATTGGCTTTATTAGGACTCAACTTAAAGAATATAAAAAGATTAAAAAACAATTAATCTGAATATAAAAGGCTTAAAATACATTTAAAAAATGATATTAAAAATATGGTACTCATTATCATACAGTAGACACTATTGAATACAACTTCGGTAATGCTTAGCGAAAGTATCACTGTATATGACAAGAAAAACTCATTCAATCTTAAATGTCTCAAGTGTTGTGACAAAAGGAAACATTTTTGAAAAATACTTTCTCTCGACTGACAGGTCTGTTCATATGTGGTGCACAAGAGATGTCATGAATTCGTGGCATTCAAGTGCCCCGGAGTTGATAAGGGAGTCGATTCAGACGACGCCCGAACCAAACATCACTTCATTGTACACACGTATACGTCGCCCACATTTTGTGACCACTGCGGGTCACTTCTGTACGGACTCATACACCAGGGCTACAGATGTCGAGCGTGTGATATGAATGTGCACAAGAAATGTCAGGATTCTGTATGTTATGATAGCGAGTAATGACTGCGAGACTACTCACACTCCGGTGCTCTCATTGATAGGTTCCTAATCTGTGCGGATGTGATCACACGGAGAGGAGGGGAAGGATTGAGCTGAAAGTCTATTCAAATCTAAACAAACTGTTCTGCGAAGTAAAACAGGCCAAGAATCTCATTCCTATGGACCCCAACGGGTTGTCCGACCCGTACGTCAAATGCAAACTAATCCCCGACAACGGAGAGAGTATGAAACGCAAGACGCGAACCATTAAAGCCAATCTGAACCCCACGTGGGCCGAGACACTCAGCTTTGATCTCAAACCCGACGATAAGGACCGGCGGTTATTAGTAGAGGTGTGGGATTGGGACAGAACATCGAGGAATGACTTCATGGGTGCCCTTTCTTTCGGTATCTCTGAGATCATTAAAAAGGAGGCCAACGGTTGGTTCAAATTATTGACCCAAGAAGAGGGCGAGTACTACAACGTACCGGTGCCCGCGG